ACTTAATTATTTCCTTTAAAACTTTCCCCATTTAGCCTTTGCTGTAGGTATAACAGTAGCCGAGATCCCTGTATAGAGATGCGAATCTGGGACAGACTGTATACCGATCATTTCACTTTCCTTTGTAATTGTTATACGCTTTGTGCTATATTGAGACTTCCTCTCATTTTGAAATTTCTCCCTCTGTTATATAGCGGTCATGAATATGAACAGAGGGCAAAAGAGCTTTGTAGTTTTAGAAAATCGATACAGTGGCGTTGGAACTACATAAAAGCTAATCCAAGAAAGCAAAATGCAAATTTGGAAAAAGCGTTGCGATTTTCATGCTTTTCAAAACTCTCTAAAACTGTTCTGGTAAAACTACCAAATAAAGGACTAAACCTTTCTTGTACAGTTACCTACTGCCCTAATATTATGAGACACTATTTTTGCCAATACCCATCTAAAGTGCATTCTACATTGCGGAGTCTTTCAACTTTAATAACCACTCTGCGCCCTACAGCTATTGGCTATTAATGCTGGCGAAAATCACCGTTTCCCCTTCGAAAATGATATTTCTTGGGGGCATTAAAGCCACGTTGACTGCTGAATAAAATTCTTAATAAACATTTAAAGGTGGCGGCACCTCGTAAAGCGCGGGCGTAACCTCAGCCTTAAAAATCGACCATCAAAATGTTACAATTTTCCCGTTTTTATAAAGATACCGTGGCCCGGATTTTAGTTTGGCGATGAAAAGCAGAATACATTTTTAATGTGGTCCTATCGTATACAGGGTCTTTCAGAATGAGAGTCAGAAAAATTATTTGGGCTTTTCTGTGTGGGTCAGAACTGTAACGCCTAATCCGACAGCTGGGATATTTTCTTTTGTTACAGCTGACTGATCTTGCCCACACGATTTTTGAAACGTCGATTTGGTGTAAACTGTGAAAATATAGGTAGTGAAAAGAAAATAAAACACCCAGTAAAAATGATTTTATTTGAATGGAATTTTGTATACAGCTAGACTCAAGCAAGTGGAACTCAGGATCAAATTTTGAGGTGAAGAAATTAGCTGTATCGATGTATTTCCCTCGATGCCATATTCTTGCATACAGTTTCCATTGGATACTTCTGATCTCAATCTAGTTGTAGTATGTCTTCTATCATTTGTTTTAGGTAGGTAGGTTTTAGGTAGGTCGGTTTTAGGTCTTCAACCCATCATATCTGACACCCATTTATCGAAAAAAGAAACTAATCCCAAACGTATTCGTGAGTACTTCACGTGATCGGACTCCAGAATTCCGAACACGTTACACGGCCGGCGAGGCTGCACGCACCGCCGTGTCGTCTCCTACTCTACCTTCCTGTATATGGGCTCGATCGGATTTGACCAATAACAGGAATGATCCCTGTTTCTTGAACAGGCCCTGGACACGCGTTGCTGATTGTTTTGATTTAACGCCTTTTGTGGGTGAATACATTTGAGCAAATCAGGGAAGTAGGTCGACTTGTGCGATGTTGTCAATTGTAGCTCTATCAATATGAAGATGGACATTATCTTGTTGGGAGCCATGAGCGAAATTGAAAAATATCATGGTTCCGCAATGGTATTACGAGTCTTGAAAAGTGACATTGTCGTGTATTTTCTGGATATACCATTGCGGGGCTATACCTCCTTCAATGGGAAGCAGGGGTGACTTACCACTTTATTCATTGGCGCTCCAAACCAAAACGCCCAGAGAATCGTATAATTCACGTTTGACTGGAAGCTTTACCTTATGTCTTTCTCCGCGGGGCGTTTTGACTCGTGCCCCTTCATGATGTGTATTTTGTAGTCATTGCCAAATCGGGATATTTTGCTACATCTCCAATAGATTACCTCATTAACGCTCAATCCAGCCTCCTTCTCTAATCTCCTAGATCTCGATACCTTTCGCCCATTGAACATGTGTGAGATATCATGTCTTTTCCTCACGCCCAACAAACACCAGCTTGGGATCATTCAGAGTGTTCCCTAATGAAGGTTCTTAGTGAAGTGGTTGATAGTTTTTATCAAAATCAACACATTTTAACCTGGATATTAATATTTTTGAGTATGTACAAAAAAGCCAATGAGTAACTTTCGAAACACCTTGTATATTATTCAGTTCAACGTACTGTTGGTGTAGCGTCTTGACGTCGCTCCAGACCTTATATTTACTTCTTCATAAAATTAATTGGAAGTTTTGCGACGCCTTGGAAAGCCGTAGGCGAGCACTGGAGACTGGAAGTTATTCCTGAAATTTGTTTGTCGTACAGAAAAGGAGATACGATTTGCCACCTTGGAGGTGCCGGACAAAAACGCATATTCGTTGAAACATTTTCGGTATGCTAGTTGTAATTCGACAAGAGAAAAACGATTGTGAGATAAATTTCGACTACTTAGAAGCCAATTCATTTAGAACATGTTTTACGTTTATGTCGTTATCTCCATAGTCTTGGCTCAGGTGTCCCTACTCACCCCTGTGGCGTTTCTCACCACATTAATATGCGGTTGCGCCAGTGGGGAGTGAAAAACGGGTGGTTTGGCTGAACTTGGCTAAACAATCGTTAATACTTTACTTCAAATGGTTGAGGTCTTGATCTTCATTTTTTGACTCTTTAGGTTCCTTGCTGGCACCATTTCACTAGGTGGTTACAAAGCTGGTATTCCAAATGTGACCGCACTTCAAGCGGGTGCTCCAAATACCCTGGGAAAGGTTGCGTGAACTACTACTTCACTATATTGAGGGTTGATTTCATTATTGGGGTTAATAATATTCGAACTCTATCGATGTTGACCGTAGAATCCAAAGTACTACGCCGAATTTTTGTGCGATCGGTACAGAGACTCAACATAAACATTCAGTATGGACTAAAAATTATTAATGGGGATCCTAAATTGCCTGTCTTTGAACTAGGGTTCTGAAGGTTTCTGTAGCCAAAGAGGGAAATCCCTTTTGGATTAATTCTTACATACAATCAGAAGCACGACCTTTGTTGAAAGCAAACTGGATACGCGATCGGCAAAACCAATTGTCCCTAACTATGCTCAGTCTGAAAGCCATTGTTCCCAGAACTGAAGATAGTTATTCTGGACTAGAGAATACTATATTCATTTTGTACCTGACTGGCCTACCGACATTTTTGTTTCTACCCTTTTCTTGTAATATTCTTTTCAGTTGCTTGAAGGATATTTCATTTGTTCTCTTCTCAACGAAAATAAACCTTCCATGTTTCCCTATACACCCTTGTAACGTTACATGAGCATACATTTATGGTCCGCTACCGATTGATCGGTATCGAAACGTTTTTGTGATTTCGCGTTACAGTCCCCTATTGTGTATACTTATATATGGGGAGGGAGAAACCTTTTAAAAACATGTAGGTATTTCGTTCCGCGTAGGATGCTGTATTCTGTTCGAAAATACACAGCTAGATACATCAAAATGCGCCTGTGTTGTAAGATGCCAAAGGAAGTATAGAAAATGCAACGGGTGAAATGGAAATTCAGTATGTTAAGGTTGGTTTTCACTAGATGTGATGTCACATACTATCATGAAGAGCTCATGTTTTTTTAATAAATTACCCTAACCCTATGAAGTCGTTGTAGTAGCTACGGGGAGGCGAGATCTGACAGGTAGGAAAGGTTTGGTTCTTCTTGCAGACACCGTGTGTATCAATATCCACTAAATTGTCAAACCTTCCTGATCTCCTAATGAAGGTCGGGATGTCCGACCACTCCGCTGAGTATGCTATCAAAAACTATCAAACTCCGTGGCTCCGAATATCTCAGCTCTTAGTCAGTATATACGCAGCAAAAGCCTAGGAAGTAGAACGCCCTCCCATCATTCCAGCACATGTGACAGATCTCTTTTCACCCTTAGTGTACGTGCACATACAAGGCGGATTCAAGCGAGGCGTAGCGTTGCGAGCAAGGCGGAAAATACAAACTAATATAATTCAATGCGAGGGTGCATACTGGTGTCGAGCCGTAGCGAGCCGTAGCAGGTCGTAACGAGTCCGCGGCGAGCGATCCGCTCCAAAACAAATCAGTTTGTCTTTGAGCGTTGGAGAGGACGGATTTAATATGGTGGATATCGAGAAATTGATTAATGAGATATTCTTGCGAACCCCTATATGGGATCAAACAAATCATTTACATCATAATCGTGATGTAATATCGAAAATGTGGCAGGAAATAGCAGCTTCTTGTGGAATAACAAGTAAGTAGTAAACACATGTTCATATAATGATATAATTTATTCATAAAACATTATATTGAAACGGGACAGCGCCCTCATTATTGAAATACTGCATAAAACAATTCCTTATATCCCTAGCTTGTTCTGTAGAACTATTATTTTTCCTATTTTTCCTATTTTTCTTTGAATCTGTGCTTTCCTTTGGTTCTTCTATTAGGGCAATACCTTCTTTATCAATAATTATATTGTGCAACACACAAATGCAATTAACAATTTTTTCGGCATTTTCTGGAGATGTTTCTATTGCTTTTGTTAAAATACGCCATTTTGCAGCAAGGATTCCGAAGGCACATTCGACAACTCTTCGTGCTCTTGAAAGTCTATAGTAGTAAAATTGTCTTCTGTGCATCTAAATTTTTTCGTGGATATGGTTTTAACAAATGATTCAGAAGTGGATAGGCTTCATCTCCTAATAAAACATATGGTAGCTTTGTATCTGAGTTTGGTAAATTACGATCTGCTGGTATATTTAACTTTCCAGTAACTAAATGCTGATATAAAGCACTTTCTCGAAATATTCCACCATCTGATTGTTTACCGAAGGCACCTGTGTCGATAAAAATGAAGCGTCAGTTAGCATCGGCTACTGCTTGTAAAACAATAGAGAAATACTGTTTATAATTGTAATAACTTGTTCCAGTATTCGATGGACATCTTATTCTTATATGTTTTCCATCTATGCACCCAAAACAATTTGGAAAATTCCACTTCTTATAAAAATGTCTGCTTATCTCTAACAAATCTTGTTCCGAAGGTATCCCAAGATGAATTGGTTGTAGTTCCTCCCATATTGCGGTACAAACTTCTTTCACTATACTTGCTACAGTCGAAAAACCCATCCTGAAAGAGTCTGCGAGTGCTCTATATGATAATCCAGTAGCTAAAAACCTGAAAAAAAAATGTTTAATTCAATACTCAAGTTTCTTAGTCTTATCCATCAATCTAACTGCTAATTTTTTTCATATATATATATAATTTTTATTTTCAGTTGAAATTGCTAAAACAAAGTGGAAAAACCTGAGAGACAATTTTCGGGCAGAAGTGAGAAAAATAAATAAAGGAAAATCAGGAGACGCTGGCGGCAGCCAAGCAGATCATGGGTCCAACTGGGTGTGGTTTAAAAACCTGTTGTTTCTAAAGGATCAAATGGTTTCAAGAAAAATGAGCAGCAGTCTTCAAAGCTCTTGCACTGTCACCACTGGTCCATCATGCGCACTGTCTGAAGATTCGCAAAGAGATACGCAAGAGATAGATGATGTCACAGAAATTGAAGAAAATTCAGAGATAGAAGGCCAAACTCCAGCTACGGATCAAGATACACCGACCGCATCAAAAACCAGTAGTTACACAAAAAGAAAGAGGGGCTCTGGGATTGACTATGAATTGTTAAATCTAGAAAAAAAGAAGATTCGAATGATTGAGACACAACTAGCACAGAATATCCCAGAATCAAAAACAGAAGATGATTTATATTTCTTTTTAATGAGCCTTCACAAACCTCTCAAGGATCTTCCGATTGATCGACAAATGTTTATTCGCTTTAAAATACAGGAATTACTTTATACTGAAATTATCAGTGCAAACCAATACCAGCAAAATACAACAAGCGGTTTAAATGTTCAAAATTCTGCAGTTAACACATTCGTTCCCAGTCAAAGCACTCAGTACATAAATCCACCGTCTACATCTTCGGTTTATTCCAATACGTCAGCTAGTAACAGCCATGATACTGACCTATTATTATTACAGTAGAATGTAATTACTCAGTATAGGAGAAATAAAGTTTAAGCCATTAAGCGGAAAATACTATGAATATACCCAGACAAAAATATTTAATTTTTTGTTTTGAATAGTTGATCTTTTTCTTCGGATTGTTTCTTTTTATTTTGTATTACTCATGCTATACTGCTTCTCGTACATTACAATTTATTACTAATACAATAATGTTAAGGATGGATTAGCGCACCAGAGAATAAAAATAAACATAAAAATGAGATAATATAAAACATGCAATATTTTTCTCTTTGAGTAGGTAGATATTTAATATAATACAAACCTCAAGGTTAATGCTAGCTTTTCAATAGGACTGATGGCTTTTCGGAAATTTGAATTTTGTTTCTTGATTCGCCATTCTACTTTTTCTAAAATATAAGAAAAAGTACTCTCCTTCATCCGAAAATATCTGTAAAACCTTTCGGAGTCTTCTTGTAAACTTTTATACAAATGAAAGAACTCTCCAAATCTTTCTCTCGAACGATTGATGTTATGTGTCCAAAATCTTCTTTTCTTGGCTAAACGTCGTTTTATTAGAGGATTCTCCAATAATAATAATAACGCTGTATCCATCGCGACTGTTCACTGACTACTGTGGGAAAGTGATAAAAATTCCGCCTTTTCAAACGCGTTCAATATGCACAGCAATCTCTAGCGTTCGGTCTCGCATCGCTACGTATCGCAACGACTCGCTCGCTTCCTCTTGCTATGTGCACGTACACTTAGAAGGGACGCTAAAACTTCATGGAGAGTAACTTTGTGCTAAGTTTTCATATTAAAGGCATGAGATATCTGTTTTCCGCCGTATATATAAATTCGTACGTACATGTACAATCCAGCAAGTAGGACCTAGTCTTGGTTACTTAGTCTGTTTTCACCATCATGTACCTTGCTCGGCATCATTCGCCGCACTATTGGTCGACTGTCAACCCACTTGTCCTGGCAGGCCTCTTGCCGAGCTTCAATTCCAGCAGTATCTGGTAGTCAATCCATCTACCATACTGGAGTAGATGACCAAGAGTATCCTCCTAATTTCAATATACTCTCTCTTTCCTTAATCTCCAGGTATCTGTCAAAGCAACCATATCATGTAAGGAACTGTGCACTATAGTGTTCTATCCCTTTTCAATAAAAGTTTTAATATCTGTGGTCAGCCTTCTAGTCCACTCACCATAGCTTGTTACAACCTATCTCTCTCGCCATATAGCATTTGCGGTCTTATTACAGATCGTACATCCCTCCCCAGTTAACAAATAAATAGACGGGATACCGGCCACCACCAGCAGTGCATCTGTCGAACGGGTCTGTATGCACAGATCACGCGCAGCACTACTTTTCGTTGGCTTCTGGACATTAGTTGTCTGTGTTTCTTTTTCCTCAGGGCATCTGTCACTCCATTTTCTTCCATCCATATGGCGATACATGTAATTCCATATGCCAAAATTGTTCCTAGTGTACTTTCTCTCCTTGCAAGTTGGTCACTATCATCGCGAGGTCGTCATCATACCCTATCAGGCGAATTCCCGACCGCATGTGTAGTCGAAGAACTCCATCGTAGAACACATTCCAAAGCAACGGCCATACGACGTAGCCCTGGGGTACTCCCATTGTTACCTTATTGTTTTTTGTGCTACCGTAAACGTACGTTCGTTAAAATCACTCCTAATTATATTCAAGATAGCTAGTGGTGACTACGCTCTCGAGGGATGCCTTAGAAGGGGTAAGCGACTGTTCAGTCTGCAGTGACAGGTAAGAACTCTTACTGATAGGTTGAGCGATTCTCTACCATGTCCAGTAGTCGGCGCGGCTGTCGTTTGTCCGGGCCAGCTTGGCCTGCCTTCAGTCATCTCTCTCTCTCGCAACACCTTTTCCAGCCAGCAAGATAATCTCTCATTACCTGGTACTTCACTCTGTCCGGGAACTCAGAGCAGGGTCACTTCTTTGCATCGGGTCAAACTTTCACCAGCAGTAGCGCGTTTATGAAGTACATATGAACTTGACTTCGGAGGTACTACTGCCATCAGAGCTGCTTGACACAACATTTGTAAATTATTGTTTATGATACCTAATGATTATAGTCTAGCTGCCCTGACCTAATCCTCCTCTTTGGTCTTTCTTTTTTCCCTTGTTTCTTTTTCCCCTCTTTTTTGGTGACATTTGAGTAACAAGTCCTGACAGACCTACTATCAACGGTACTTCAACAAAGCAGATGTTCGACAGACCGTTCTGACAGACAACAACAAATAAAAGGGTATTTGACGTAGACATTTTAGGGCAGGTATCACAAAATGAGGGAATTGTTGTTTTATTGACGTAATCATAGAACAACAAGCCAGGTGAACAATTGATCCAAGTATTCTCGTTCAACCTATATTCATATATTACCTGTTCGATCCTCAATTGTGCGGCTATTCTGATTCCAATATTTAGCTTGCCCGTTCAGTTTAATTGAGATTTATATTAGCTTCATTCTATACCAGGGGATTGTGATAGCAATTCAGAATTCAGTAGAAGCCTAATGATCTCGAGGCTGTTTATTACTGACTGATATACAGGATGTTTCTTAATGACTGTTATTACACAGAATAATTTTTCGGGTATCTCTAAGACAGATTCCGCACTAATATAAATGAGAAAGTCTAGATGTTTGTTACTCAGTTACCCTAAATGGCTGAAAGGATCTGGTTGAAATCTGGTACAGAGATAGATATTATAGTCTGGAATAACACAAAGGCTACTTTTTATCCCGGGAAATAGCTTTGAAAAATCTATATATGTTATTTAAAAGGTGGCCATCCGTTGGTTTTTTAAGTTGATATTATTTTGACAGTTGGTAACACTTCCATGCTCTACATATTGGCAGATATATTGTGTCAAACTTCCACTCTGAGCAATGGATCGTTTTAATCTTGAACAAAGGTGGGAAATATTGAAAAACTATTCTCAAAGTGAGGGGTGTGTTGCAGAAATTTTGCGAACATTGAGAAGAGTATTTGGTCGGTATACGAAAATTCGTAAAACTGGCCTGCTTGTGGATAACAGAAGGTGTGAGCGTGTTCGACCCGTACGTACAGCCGAAAACATTCCTGCTTTGGCCATTGCGCGAAAACGCAGGAATGTCAACTCGTCACAGAGCACAAGTGGCCATCAGTCGCACTTATATGCGGAGAATATTGCATAATGACCAGGGATTATTTCCTTACAAGGTGCAACTTTTGCAAGAGTTGAAACAAAATGACCATCCGCTTCGGTATCATTTCTCTGTGTGGGCTCTAAATCAGTTGGAAACGGACGTCAATTTTGGTCGCCAAATCATCTCTCCGGACGAAGCCCAATTCCGTCTGGGAGGTTACGTTAACAAGCAGAACTGTAGGATTTGGGGTTCTGAAAATTCACATGTCGTCATAGAAAAACCAATGCATTCAAAAAGAGTAACTGTTTGGTGTGGCTTTTGAAGTGCTGGGATTATTGGTCCCTACTTTTTTCAAGACAAAGATGGTAACAGCGTGACGGTAAACTACGTATAGAGACATGTTGAGGAGTTTTTTGTGGTTACTATTAGGTGACATGCACTTGCACAATCTCTGGTTCCAGCAAGATAGCGCGACATGCTACACTAGCTGTGAAACAATCGATCTTTCACACACGAAGTTCAGTCATCGCGTTATCAGCTGTTTTGGAGACGTTCATTGGCCAGCCCGCAGCTGTGATTTGAAGCCCTTGGATTACTTCCTATGGGGTACTGTTAAGGACCGCTGTTACACTGTCAAACAATTGATGTTGGTAAGGAAAATATCCGTCGAGCTATTGATGAAATACACCCACAAACTATCGAAAATGTGCTTCAAAATTGGGTTAAGAGGATGAACTACTGCCAGGCCAGCCGCGACAGCCATTTAACTGAAATTGTTTTCCATAAATAGTCGGAAGGTGTATACTTTTGAGTAAAGTATCGAGTGTTACATATAGTTGAAGAGTATAGTTGTAGTACCAATTTAAAAAAAGAAACCAACGGATGGCCCACCCTTTATTTCACGTGCTGCAGCCTAAACGGCTTAATGGAGTTTGATGTGAAGTGTCTAGCCTGGAAGCGTTCCGTCCCTGATCCGACCAAAGTGAGTAACAGGCATTTGCATCATATTTTGTTGTTGGTTCGATTCGGTATCATTATCTTGATCGATAAATACGAAATTGGCTTTGATTTATTGGCTATTTGGTTTACTTTAGGTACACTATAAATAAATTGTTATTAAGTTAGTTGTGTGCTTTGCGTGCTATTGTAATTAAATGGAAGTTAGATTACTCATAGTTATCTGTCTAGGGTTATTATAATTTGTGGATATATCATTACTTGGCAGTTTTTTTAAATGCACGGGAAACGCAAATCTAATCTTTCGCAGAGGATTAATAAAGCTCGGGCCATGAGGGTAGCTCATTTTTTACGTTACCAGTAATAACGTTGCTAATTCCTTGAAATGAATGACAAATCAATGGTCAACTATAAGTACAATTGCTACGTGTCAAGATACGCCACACAGGCTATGAGATACTTCACGTACTATTGCTGTGATTACACATTGAAACTTAATTTAAATAATAACAATGTTTTATCAAGACAAACCTTGGTCACAACAGTATTTTTATTCGCCAAAAAGCAATGCTTTATTAACACCCGACATTCCTTTTTATCCATTTTTTCAAACAAAAGTTCTTTCATTAAAAATGCTATAACTCAGATACTAATAGTATAACAGCTGTCAAATTTATACACGCGTCTTTTTAAGGTTAGGGCTACGAACTTTTCAGCTCGCCTGCCACATTTTGACCAAATTGTGTCCCTTGCCAGGGTAACTATTGCATTACTTTGAATATTGCATTTCTCTTTCCGAATTCAATCTCCTTCACACTAATGCAAAGCTAATGACCTATATATTACAGTAATTCACGCGAGCTTAATAAGGACGGAAATCCGACATATCCTCATGTAACCCCGGTATGTATCCAAATTTTTTATTCGGTCATTTTTTGCTCCCCTCCAAAAATTTTATAGCCACGAGGATTAACGAAAAATATAGATTTTGGTCGATAGTTGCATTTCGCGAGGCATGAGCGGATGAGTTATTTTTTTTTAATTTTCGTTTCTGATTTATCCGGTTACACAGCAACATTCACTAAAATATCCGCAAAGAATAGAATGTAACACGCTGGAGGGCTCCATCCGATTAATGTTTTGCACTTCGCTTTATCCCAGTCAAAAAAACTCCGCGTTAGGCCAGCCATTTAAAGCTTTTCGGATCGATACTGATGAGTGAAAACTTAATTTTTGTATTTGTCGCACTAAAAGGACTACAAATAAAAATTGTGGAGGTTTAATCATATTCAACCAGTTCCAAAAAGACTAGTACTAACAACTGCAAATCTACTGCATTGCTATCAGTGATCAGCAAGGTAGGGTAATTTGGAACGATAGATTATAACTTTTTTTCAATAAGCAGTTACGAACTAGTTCAGAACTAATTCCGAAATCTTTCTCTGCGCATGCCCGAGGTTAGTATACTTCAGAACTAGAGAATTACATAGCTTGTCGTAAACATACCCTCAACCCTTAACTACTGTGGTACATATTTTGTAACATTGGTTGGTGTGGTGCGGTCATGATGACCCCGCTAATTGAATATCACTAAAAAATCAATATTTTTAATTTCCATGTATTTTCTTCAAATTAATGTATTGCCTATAGTTTTGTAATAATAATCAAATGGATATATTGATGACAGAACAGTTAACAAAATTTTATTTTTTGAGCGACAAGATTAATTTGACAGAAAATTAGTAAGCATAGCCAAAAGTCTATATTAGACAAAAAAAAGTTGGTGTAAAACGAAATAAAAAATAAAACATTTTGCACTTGAGACTAGGAACCGATATTACAAAAAAAATAGTTACTTCAAATATACAGGCTATTTTCATGAAAATCACAAAGCCTAAAAATGTTATAAATCACATTTACAGTTACAACATAATTTTGTTGAACACTCAACACAAATTGGTCTAGCACACATGTAACACAGGTGAAAGGTCTTTTTTTTATTCGTGAAAGACATGTATAACACGTTTTTCTTTTAGAAGTTTCTCGGTGGAAACTGGTGCTGGACGGTCGTCCGGTAGATCCAAGATCATTCGTATTGAAGCTCGTAATTCTCGTGAAATTCTTGGATTTGCAGCCCTTCTTTGTAAATGCGGCCTAACTAATCAGTTTTCTCAAGCTTCGCATTATTTTTGTAACTCTGATGGATAATATGAGCATTTACTCCACTGATATCTAGGATACGAAAAAACAGAACCATAGGCCACCTCCTCGTGCGGCGACTTGTAGAATGTTTGGCGCATTTTTCATCTAGAGCATCTACTCCGCCCTTTGTAGAATTATAGTACGTTATAATCTCAGGCTTATCCGTATCATCGTCAAATGATTTTGAATGGTGTATGGACCATATGAGAATAACAGCTCTATTTTTCTTCGGGACATATGAAACTTGAGTCATTTTTTTGGTAAAACCAAATAATGTTCCCTCCCTACCAACTTGTCTGCTTCTTTTTTGTAAAACCTCTGCAGGAACTTTGTTTTTCTTTTTCTTAAGCGTTCCAACATACGTGAGTCCCCGAGTTTTTAGCTGCTCTACAACTTCTAAGGACGAAAACCAGTTATCAGCTGTGATATTGCGGTTTGTGCCTTTCGATTGTCACCAATCTCAATACGGATTGTGTTGGCTTTGCTAGCTTTTTCAAAGTACTTGTCTAAACCAATTCCATCAGAATCCTTACCAGCATATATATAGCCATTGAAAAAGTACTGGGTACGCGCATCGGTCATGCATATAATTTTAATGCCGTATCTACATGGCTTCATGGGCATAAACATTTTGAACTTGCATCTTCCTCGAAAAGATACCATCATCTCATCTATGCAACAGTTTTCTCCTAAATAATGCAAGTCCTGACATTTTTTTACAAATTGTTCAAAAATTTCTGAAATTGGATCCATAGGACCTTCTTTTTTTCTGTGCTCTTGATCCAAAGGATTATCAAACCGTAAATATGCCAAAAGGAATGCAAACCTTTCCTTGCTCATTACACAGCGAAAGATCTCTCTTTTGGTAACATCAGTTGCAAATATTTTGTTTATATTTTCATGATTTGAAACAAAAACTGCAGTATAAAGTAGTAGGCCAATAAACGCTTTTAGTCATCAGAGATAAGCAAATTCCACACTTCAGAAGGTTGTGCTGCTTGCCCTAACTGTTCGTTGGGTCCACGTAAAGTCGGCAGACGTAGCACAGTATTATGTTTTTGTGTACGACTATGGCTTATAAAGCTTTCAGAAGACCACTTGAATCTGTTTTTTTCATAGAAATGCTTTCTTGTTGCTGAAGCTTGATTTGCCACTTCTTGGTCAGCACTTTCAGACTCGTCTTCGTCAGTATTTTCATACTCGTTCTCCTGATACGTATCGGCAGTCTCCTCCCCATCTTGCTCAGAATCTGTGTCGTGTTCACTTTGTTCGAAATCACTTTCGCTGTCACTACCTTCGTCACTTCCGGATACAATTTCATTGAACCACTTTAAAACAGTACTTTCAGAGTCTGGATCGCCAAACCGAATTCTTTTTGAAGGTGCTGCACCATAATCAGCTATAATAAAACAAAACGGATTATCTCACTATCACTGTGGTGTGGTCACGGTGACCGCAGAAATATTTTATCGCGATATGTTTCGAAATCGAAGCGAGTAAATCACGACGTACTCCACCCGGGTTCTTAAATAGCACTGACTTGAAGGTACATACTTGGACGCTCGATGCGCTAAAATTAAAGGACGGGGTAAATTCCAGGGCAGTGACTATGTGCTGCGGCTATGGTGACCGCACCACAGTAGTTAAGGATTAATTGAAGCAAAATTTAAAATTATCAAATTTCCGTGTGCTAGGAAGTTGGAGATAATTTATTGTTTTTTATCGTACTGTGCATTTTTTTAAAATTGGCAAACCGAGATGGGGTATTTAACAGGAGATGAGTAGCTTGGGGGAAATGTTTTGAAGATATAGTATAAAGTTTTTCTTAAAGTTGCTAGAATTTATCATTTTTCCTTTAAAGGCAACATGCTCTGCTAATGTTGCAGAGCAATGTTAAGAACGCTATTAATTGACCTGGCATTAAATAAATATAAAAGGTTAATGTTACTAACATGATTGAAACAAATTCATTAGAATTATCCACGCTTGCCTACGTAATTTTCATTTTTGGGTCTTGGAACTCCTATAATCAGCTCAAGATCTTCATTTTCGCTTGAATCTCGAAAGTAATCTTCATCAATAAACGGGTAAGATTTAGTTGTGACATATAAACATATTGATAAGTTAGAAAAGGTAGCCTCTAAACCCTGCTTGCCAGCTATTAACAATTTACAGACGCAATTTATTTTGTGAATGCGCATGCGGTAACAAGTCCGAAGTTTTAGCTCTCTCTAAGAACCAGAACTATAAGAACCAGTTCAGTTCCGGTTCGGAATCAGCAATGAATTCTTTGAAATAGAGGACTGCCTGTTCGGAATCTGTGCCATTTTCTGTAATTTAGATCTGCGCGTGCTCTGTTCAATCCAAAACTAGTTCGTGGTTTGTTGGAACAAAGCAAACGATATACATTTGATTCGGACAACATACAATATAGACATGACATAAAAACGTCTCAGTTCATAAAAGTGGTCTTTACATACGAATAAACATGATCACATAAAAATCCAATAACATATAAATAAAACGCGTTCGTAATCATACGACTGTGGCTAATATTTTCAATCAAAATGCTCACTTATGGAATAAAAACAATGTTCGGTCAAGGACTTATTTAAAATACTTTTAAATTGAACTATTTTAAGTTGAGGAATATACTTGATGGTAGATGATCAAATAGACCTAAACGTGGGTAATCCTGTTTTCATGTCGACCTTGAAAATTCGGTTCTTCTTAAGTCACCATAATATCCAGTCTGATAACTGTGAAAGTTAGAGTTTTTTACTTATCTATATTTTCGTGTGTATCTATTAAAGTGGTGTAGATGTGTTAGAACATGCATTCTTTAAAAGCTTAGTGATTGTACAAGGTAGCTTACAGACCTATGTTGTCGCGGTTTTTGGCTGTTATGTCGTCAACGTCATACGAAACAGTTCTTCAACGCAGCTCCTCGTGTACACATCAATTGTACTTATAATTTAGGACCGTTGCTTCAATTTTCGTTTTAAAAATACTCCAATAAGCTTAGCTAAAACTGCCGATTTTATACATTAATTGTATTTTCAGGTATGGCTATGATTCATATTACGTATATCAACATCGGTATACTCAAATCGCGTGCCTGTATACCTACGTGGATGGTCGCACTGAAAGTGCCAAGCATAAATACGATGGCAAGAAAAATTTCGGTACGATAAGACAAAATTAAGGAATGTATGTCTGAGCCTACTCATTGATTAAAGTATTACTTCGTCCAAATAAGTATTCCAGATAAAATGATAACTTGTTAGAGCTGCTTCTTTATTTACTATAGAGAGAAATCCATATACCACTGACGTCGTAATATGCGTGAGAGGGAAGCGCGAGAACCGTGTAATGCGTATGTTAGAAAGAAATAGAAGCACCACGTTGCCTAGCAACCCGATTGACGCGGCCATGGGCGCAGCTGTGTCTTGCCGCGTTGCCATCGGAACACTCTTTCTAACATACGTGTTGCACACTTCTCTCTCGTACACATTACGACGTCATTGATGTTTGGATTTTTCTGAATATACTTTGGAAATGTTAGTGACTTATAGATGGCGCTGACTATATTAGCATATTTAAGCATATAGGTAGCTACCGCGTCATCTGCGAGTCACCAACTTTCTCATAGTAAATATTGAGAAATATGTATGACAAATTGTCATAGAGGACGGCTACGGTATCTTATTGTATCTCGGATGGTTTGTAGGACGCCGGAGTATAGCATTAAAGTTACTATCTTCAGGTAGAATACGTTAATCAATGGCTTACACAAACGTGTGAGGAAGATGGATGTATGAAAGTGATAACGGTAGCTGTACTACGGCCCGCCAAATAACATGAAATGATCTATAGATAGCAAATATACTAAGTGACATATAAATCCGAACACCCAGTTTAAATGGTTTTATTTTAATAAAATTTTGTATAAGTACTTAATGAAGCATAATAAGTAAATGATAAAAATTTCAAAATGATTGCACTGCTTTAAAGCCCTTTGACCTTTAATAATGTGTGGATGCACCCTGATGTGCTACGCATTCTCCAACGCGCCTAGGCATGCTTCTGATCAGGTGGTCAATGTCCTCCTGTGGTATCTCATTCCAGGCAACCACCAACTCCTCTCGAAGTGCTTCTACAGTCTGAGGAGGACGTTGCAAATTGAGCAATCTCCTACCCATCAATTGGGGATAAGTCGGGAGATCTTGGTGGCCATGGTAACAATGTGACATCATTATGTTGAAAGAAGTCTATTGTGATTCTTGCAACATGTGGTCGGGCATTATCTTGTTGGAAAGTTGGATCTGCCAGGGTGTCAAGATAGGGTAAAAGATGGGGTTCTAGAACTTCGTGGATATAACGCTGCGCGTTCATGTTACCTCTGATGAAGATTAAAGGTGACCTGGAACCATAAGCTATAGCACCCCAAACCATAACTCCAACAGTGTGATGAACATGTCTTTCAACAAAAAACTGTGGATTCCTCCTTTCACCACGTCGCCTTCTAACTCTGGCACGACCATCGTGCATACCTAAACAAAATCGAGACTCGTCACTAAAGACAATACTGTTCCATTCCTGATCCCAGAGTGACCGTTGTCTGCACCACTCAAGGCGATTACGTCGGTGTTCTCGAGTTAAAGGGAGGACCCAGTGTGGCCGGTATGAAAATAAGCCAAAACTTCTCATTCGTCGGTAAACACTTCGCATGCCAATAGGTCTTCCGTGTTGTGCAAACCATTCATTTGCAATGGACCTGGTAGTGGAGAAACGGTCCCTTAAGGCCAATAATCTTAGGCGGCGATCTTCACGGTCTGTTGTTCTACGGCTGCGTCCAGTGCCCCTTGCTCTTTGCGTACGGCCTTCTCGAAGCCATTCCTGAAAACACCTAACCACAGTGTCTACACTTCTTTGCACTCTAACTGCAATTGCCCGAAAAGAAAGTCCAGCTTCCAGAAGTCCCACTATACGGCCCCTATCAAACTCACTAAGTTGACGAAATCGTACAGGTCTCCGTACTCTAGGCATCGTAACCGATCGTAAAGGATGTCAAGAACCAAAATCCGCCAACGTTGATTCTTTACTGCGGCTGAAATATTCATTTTTAGAGCGTTAGTGAATTAAAAAAAAGCAGTATAAAAACCGGAATGTTCAACTGATAAGGCTGAAAATTTTTTCACTTGTTATTTACAGTAAGATAAATACATTCACCAACTTTTATTAAAATAAAACCATTCAAACTGGGTGTTCGGATTTATATGTCACTTAGTATATATCATTGATTGAGTAAATTTTTGTAGATTTCTTTTCACTTTAAAGCTTTACCTCCAACTCAATAGAAAGATGCGTAGGGAATCTTAAGCCACTCTACTTCATTTCCATTTTTTCCAACAAAACGAAGGCCTTTTTGGCTCTTGTCGGTAGGCGGATTTTTTAATTAGCAAGATTGTCTGTCGGACTCACTTGTTTTTCTGCTGTCCTGTAGGCTTTTTTATAGCGCTGTTGTTGTTGCCCGAGGGTTGATCCCACTGTTTACAACCTCTTCTCAGTATTCGTTAACTTCACTTTTGTTTATGTAAAAGGATCTCATTAGAAGGTAGGTGGACTGCTACTGCCGGCTGGCTAGGTTGGCTGGTTTTCCATTTCGTTTGCCTGTTTTATTCTGCTGAAGCTCTGTACCTCGAAATTTGATATACTCGTATTTTGTTTGGAATGTACACTTTTTGTGAAATGTTTTAGTTTCCGAGAAGCTATGGTAGATGGGAGTGTATGGCTGGAAGGGACTTGTTTGCTTTCCGTCTCTGTAACCATGATCAATCGCAGTCAGCGCTGTGTCACCATGATTAGCTACCTATCACTGCGGTATAGGTCGTATTTTTAATCTTGGTGATAGACGAAGCGGGAATGAAACAAGTGCGTATGGACTTCTCTGTCTCTCTCTCTCTCTTGGTTTCAGTGCGAAAACCTTTACTAAAGTTTGACTAATTACTATTAAAAAAAATTTACAAGACTGTGAGTCACCAAATGACCTAAAAAATAGCTACTTAGTGTTCTTTCAAAAATAGTATAACATGTGTAAGTTCTTTTTACTAAAAACTGAATAATTCCAAGTTTTGTCATTGAAGTTGTAATACTTGGGAAATACTACAAATAAGGCATAATATTTTTAAAAGAGCATTAAATAGGCTACTTTTTAAGATTATTTGCCGATTCAGTCCGGTACATTTTTTTCACAGTAATTTGAGTAATTAGTCAAAATTTAGTAAGGGTTTTTAGATTGAAACAAAATGTAATAATTTTTGTTAGCATACCGTGCTAGCTTTCATTGATATGAATACTCTGTTGTGTCAATCAACTATTAATAGGAGCTCAGAAAAA